GTTATTTTGACAAACAAAATACCAAACACGGCACATTGCGCAGTAACGCTCTGGATTAAAGATATTGTTTCTCTGTCTATATAAAACCTAAAGATTTCAAACTTTGCTAGTGTGTTGCCTTGTATATAGTTAATCTTTGCATTCAAAATTGTTGTCCTGGTTAGCCGGAAAAAGTTACAAGAATTGGTCACGCGGGGACATTTAACCAAATATGCTTTGTTTTGAAAATCATTTTAAAAAAAGGCCATCTTTAATATTCTTTAGACTCTCCGAAATTAATGTTTATATTATTTACTAACAGAGTCTGCAAAAACATCTTGCGTGGCTTTGAACTTTTAAAGAGAGAAGTATGGCCAAATTGTCGCTAACGCGGTTATCATAAATGGGGCATGCATTTACCCGTTCTTCACAATTTTATTATTATTAAAAAGCGTAAAAATGCTACGGAGTACTCAGGAAAAGACAAATTGACAGCACAGAGGTGGACGGCAGTTTTGAAGGGAAACTTCCTAATACATTTTCGTACAACCGACCCAAAACTGCCCATGGGCCGGAGCGATCGAGGTCCGCCACCCTGTAACATGCTTCGCGATGCCTGTTTCAACAAGCGGCGTGTAGCGTCTCCGTCTACGCGACGTAAAGGAGGCAACCGGAGCGACTTTTCAAACAGATCAGCCTACATCCTTGGCGGTAGTATGATATAGGAGGTAGGGCGCGGTAGAACCTGACCCAGCGCCGCCTGTCTGCATGAATAGATCCGCCGCCGTAATTAACAGCACAGCGCAAAAAAAAAAGCAATTGCAAAAAGAAAAAAAAAGAAAAAAAAACTAACTCAATTAAATGAGATTGTTTCAAACTTAATTTATCTGACAACGGCTTGGAGAATCGTGAAATCTAATTTGGGTATGCTCATGTAACCTACGTCAGTAATGGTGCAGCAGGCCGCTTTAAGAACAATTACCAACTACAGGATCTGCAGAGCAACAAGTGCACGTCAGCGAAGTGTATTTTTTCCGCAACTGGGCATAGTAAGAGTGCCTGCGATTGAATGGGGAATCATGTGAAGCACCAGGCAACGTTGTACAACCTCCGAAGGCCCACCACGTCTGGGATCAAGTCGGCGTCAAAGGTGGTTGCCCCACTGAACACTAAACTGCCAAACTTGAAACTAATCCACCACCCGATAGCTGACGTCAAAGCGTTCAGGGATATGAAAGCAAAGAACTGGGACTCTGTTCCTGTTGTGCGTGGAATTCAGTTTTGTCACTTGTGGCAGTGTACGCGGTACGACACTTCGCAGCCACAGCCTTGTTAGTGAGAACAGTAGACGCAGAAAAGATAAATTTTAGAAAGTAAAGTCTCCTTCGTCTGCGAAAAGCAGGTGGAGGGCGCGAGCTTGCGGTGCCACTGAGAAGAAACGAACAGTGATCGCTACAGGTAAAACGGGACGAAAATGTTTCTCCTCAAAGTGCCAGGAGAGCGCCGTGACCAGCTCGGGTCGGCGTCCGGTAAAATTTAATCCACGCGACAAGCGCCGAATATGCGCACAGGATCTTGATTCATTAAACTCGTTTCACTTGTACCACTTCAAACGTGTGTTCTTTCTTAACACTATTTAAACCTGGTCGTCAGCAGCCCAGCCTCCATACAGAGGGTAGGTTCCGTAATTCGCTGATCCGAGAAATCTGTATTCAAATTGTTGACTTATGCTTCAAACTCGCCTGGAATCTTTTGTGTGAATTCTTATTTTTCAGGAACTCCTTGCCCTTGTTTGAAATCGGCAACGTCCTATCTTTCCCTACTCCCGATACGGCAATTCTGTATCTTTAGCACTCTGTAACATTATAAAATACAAAAATATTGCAAAGCATTCTTGAAGGGCCTAATAGAACAAATTATGAGCCTTGATCTGTGAAAAGTAGAAGACAGATCAAGATGGCCTTCATTTTAAACTGATTTTCCAATTATTGCAAAATCGGTACTTACTGTGTACATTGCGGTGTATGTTTCTAGAAAGGTTATCGTTTTTAATTTAAATAAAAATGTATGCAAATATTGAACAAATGCGCCCAAATCATGTTACAATTAAGAAAAAAAGATTAAATTTCTTGTTTCTTAAAATCGGGATTTATAAAGCTCTGAATTGCTTGGTAAACGATAATGCATGTTTACCTCCTTTTATCTTATGTACAGTTTCTGCACAAAAATATTAAACCTCAGGCGACGAGAGTTTTTCATTCACAAATATCTGAAGGGATGGTTTCACGCCAGTCGAAAAAACGTGCGCGTATACCGACATTGATTTTATGATTTTTGTTTCGCAAGATAAATTTTATTTTCCGCAAAAAAATGTTCGAATATTTTCTTGCCATTGCACAAGTAAAATATTGGTTAAAAACGCTAAAAACGCGTTTAATCAATACGAATCACCAACTTGACGAACTTTCTACCTTCGACAAGTAGAATATATCTTTTGGCGAAAATAAAAAGATGTCGACCGGATATGGTCTTTCAATCCTACCTGAGAACGCCAATACAGACAATCTCAGTCAATCTGAATTCTTTTTTTTTGCATAGCTTTATTTCTTACGTTATGTGCGGCTCTCCACAGCGGCTGAACTATTGGCGCTGACAGGCGGCGCAGATTTAAGTTCTGCTGCGCCCTACCTCCTATATCAAGTTACCGCCAAGGTTGTAGGCTTATCTGTTTGAAAGTCGCTCCAGTTCCTTCCTTTTCGTCGTGTAGACGGAGACGCTACACGCCGGCTGTTGAAACAGACACCGCGAAGCCAGGGGCGGATCCAGAACTCTGTTTTGGTGGGGGGGGGGGGGGGGGGGGATTTTTAAGGATACTATTCTCCCATTCTTTCTTGTGCACGGGGGGTCCACCCATGTCAAATTGCCCTCCGAGAAGGTGAGAAGGAGGGGGGTCAGCTTTGCTGGGGGGGGGGGGGGGGGGGGGGCGGCGGCCGCCCCATCGCTCCCCCCCCCCCCCCCTTGTATCCGCCCCTGCGCGAAGCATGTTACAGAATGGCGGCTCTCGATCGCTCCGGCCCATTGCCATTTTGGGGTCGGTTGTACATAAATGTAACTACCATCCACCTCCGTGCTGTCAAATTGTCTCTTCCTTACCACCCCATAGCCTTTTTACGCTTTTTAATAATTATGAAACTATGAAGAACGTGTATGCGCACGTTTCATTGATGGCAACTGCGTTAGCGTCAATTTGGCCATATTTCTCGCTGTACAACTTCAAAGCCACAAAATATTGGATAATGTTTTTGCTGACTCTGTTAGCACATATTATGAGCGTTCGTTTCGGAGAGTGTAACATATTAAAGACGGCCTTTTCTTTTAATGGTTTTCAAAATAATGTGTGAGCACTTGTAAATTTTTCGCGCTAACCAGAACAACAATATTTTATGCAAAGATATACAGAGAGAAACACACTGACAAAGCTTGAAGACTTTAGTTTTTATATAAACGGAGAAAAATAAATCTTCAATCCAGAGCGTTATTGCGCGATGTGCCGTGTTTGCGAATTTGTCTCTGAAAAAAACGACCATAATACTCGGTGACTAATACCTTTGTCGATCATTCCTTTGCCTCATTTGTCAATAAATATTTCTAGACCAGTAGCCAAAACAGTTTGTTTGGGGAAGCCGCCCGAAACGCCAACATCGCGTGATGCGCAAAACGCGCACGTGACTGAGAGGGTGCTTACAATTTTATTTTTCGCAAAGATAAACTTTTTTTCCAAAACAAAAGATTGGTTTTCTTTTTCTTTTTTGTTTTGCATGGAGCCAGCAAAATATATTTTTTTTATCAAAATTAAAAATGGTCACCGGATATGGTTGTTCGATCTTACCTTAAAACGCCCTTGTTTAGAAACCCGACTTCTGATTCTGATTATTAGCTGCATTATGTCGAGTTCATAATGGCTGAATTAGTGTAGATTCACCACTGGAATGTGGAAATGGTCTGGTGTGCGGGAATATTAGATGTGATGAATCGGCCTCAGAAGGAGGCGAAGCACACCTGTAAAACCCGAGACGAGTTAGGGGTATGACAAAAGAACTATGCCCTTGAAGGTGAAGTTCGAAGGATAAAGGTAATCTAGGGATAGCTTCCTGACACCAAATATGTGACTGAGGAGTCAACCCAAGGTAGGGAGGGCGACAGAATAAGCAATGTTAATCTAGAACATATTGATCGGGAATGTAATATACCGGTGCATGAAAACCTAGTAGTAAATATAAACTCTGAGCTCTGTAAGAAATATTACAAGTAAAATGCTTTTCGGTAAGAAGAGGACAATGCCCATCCGCAAACCACGATCGCCTTGACTTGGTATACGAATGATACAGAGTTCTGTACCACTTCTGGGAGCATTCAGCTTGTTGTTTTCGCCGGGTATTTATTGGACTTGGTCTATTTTTCTGCGGATTACTTCTGCAGTAGATGTTTCGCTAGAGAGCTATTGTCGATGCCCTAGCTTGGACGCCTTCGCCTCATGATTGGTAAAGAAATCCAAGATGACGACGCAAGAACATCTCAAATATTTATTCAGCCTCTGCTGATCCAACTTCAATCTTGTCAGGCATTCCTATATAATCAAAAACCGGAAATGTCTGAGATTTCGCCGTTCTCCCATGGAAACTTAGTTTATAACGTTGTTGGCGACCATGTGGGTGAAAAGCGAGTATCGTTTCGGTTGCAACAAAACGATTCCTGCTATGTACTACTCGGCTTTTTGTGAATATTTACAGTCCCTAGATCAGCTACTTTTGCTGGAGGCAGACGGGGATAGTACGCAAAGCTATTGTTTCCTTATTCTGATATATGTATCAGAGCTTCACAGACAATGGCACCAAAATTTCCAGATAAGCCAGTTGCATAGCTTCGTTTTCACAAATAGACGTCCCTGGGGGGGGGGGGGGGGGGGGGGGGGTTACGGCACTGGGCACTTGTTGACGAGAAGTTTCCAACGGCGGTCACAGGTGGAGGACATCGAGTCTAAGCTGGACCAGCTGATGGAGATGTACATGGAGGACCGTGCCCGGCTGTTGGCCGTGCCCACGGTGCCCCCCGCGGGACTCAACCTGCGCCACCACCCTCCGCCACCCCCTCCGCCCTCGGCGGCCCCGTCCCTGGCCCCGTCGCCGCCCCTGCCCCCGCCGGCTCCCGCGCCGACTTCCACGACCCCGCCTTCGGTACACCCGCAGAGCGCGCTCGCCCGTGCCTCTCTGCTGGACAAGCAGTGCAGCGAGCCCAACACGCCCGTGGCCAAGACCTTCGAGCGCCCCACCGTAATGCAGAGGGGAAACTCGGACCTGGGCTCCAGGCTCCGCCGGAAGGTGGCCCTCAGACACACGGCAGCAGCGACGGCGGACAGCGACCCGACGCTGTCCGGCACGGGAGGTTGCCCCCCGTGCATCCGCGTCGAACAGGACCACACGAGGGCCTCGTCGGTGGCGGCCGACAGCGAGGCCAGCACGCTGGCGACCGAGATGGAGAGCCTGGCGGCCAGCGACGACGACGACGATGGCAACTCTAGCGGCGAGCGGCAGCGAGGTGCCGCTGGTCTGGACGACAGTTCGGTGGGCGGAGATTGCTCGACTGCACTGCTTCGACCCGACGACGACGACGTCAGTGTTGTGACTGTGTCCGTCACGGAGACGGCGGCACTTCTCAGACCCACGTTCCACAATTTCACAGCCTGAGGGGGGAAGGTGGGTGGGGGACGGGGCGAGATGCGGCTGCTTCTTCCGCGGGTGGCGCGTCTCTTTTATCCTTCTCGCGCGCGCACACAAACACACATTCCATCCATGTTAATATTGCTTTGGCCTCGATCGCACAGAGATCGAACGCGTCGGACGGGTAGAACATAGATGGGCAGCGGTCTTTTTGCACTGATCGGTTTCTCGAGGTTCCGCTGGGCCTCGATTCACGCGGAATGGATTTACGTTCGCATCCTTCACACTTCGACGAGGACAGGGAAATGCTTTTAATGAAAATTCGGCTTACTGTCCTGCAAATATCTTAACGTATATGTTCTACGTATCCTTGATATTGCATATTTGAAGTTCGGCAGCAGCGCGTTTGTATTCTTTAATGTAGACTTCTTTGAGGGAAAGAATTGAAAGCAAAGCTCATGAAACAGTAGAAAGCCAAGACCCAACGAAGAGCACGTACCCAATAATTGCATTTGGCTTTCTACTTCAATAATCACGAGCTTAAACAAGGTGCTTCGAGATACCGTGGTGCGATGTCTTTGAAATTTCTGTTTCTTCAGCTATGAATTGCGGAATACTTTAGAACTAGTTAAACGAGACCGTTGGAAAGAAGCATCAATAGGACAATAGCAGACTTAGATCTCCCATGTAAATTGCACGTTTTACTGACACGTACTTTGAATTGTTTCTAGCATTTTTTATATTCCTTGTACAAATCTCGTTGTTGAGTGGGTCACTCCATGGCACTACTTAGATTATACCCGATGCGATTTGCGCGAATCCCGTGACAACGCAATGGTGGCTAGGCGCACCACTATTCACGTGTTCATTGTATTTCAATTCTTTTTATCTGCATTGGGTGAAGGGTTTCGGGCTTAACGTACTGAAGGGCTGCTGCTAACATAGCAATAAATTAGTGGTTTGGCACTCGTGTATATGTTTTTTGTTGTAATTTACTGACGCTGCCATTATGCTAGAGATGAACCTTTTGCGAATTGAATGAGAAGACTGGAGAGCTTCTTCGGTCATAATAAAATCTTTCAAATATTTCTAGACCACTAAATTTCTACAGCGATTATAACATCTTTTTTTAATGTAAAACTTAATGACAATTTCTTTATTTTGGTTTTTTTCTCGATGGGTGTTTAATTTAGTGTGTTCTTGTTTGACAAACATAAATCTCAAGAGACTTTGAGTCAGAGGTGGTAATAACGTGAGTATAAGCTACCCGCGGCGTATTTCACTGAACATTCAGCTAAAAATACACGTGACTAATATTTATATTCTGAACGAAGTGTAATTTACTCATATACAATCTTTTGACAGCATTGTTTCTGTGTCATCATACCTTCAAATCCTCTACTACAACTTGACGACGCGATACTTCCCTACCATTCTCACACCTAGTAGTGTACGAGACAGCATAGTGTTCTCAAATACAACTGACATCATCACCCATATTGGACCCTTCTCCCGTATATTTTGACATGTGAGTTATAAGAAGTGACGTTGCCAGTTAGACGAACGACCAATGTTGAGTCTTCAACTTCTTCCTTGAGTCATCGCCGTGCAACTCTTGACGCTGCGCACAGGGTACCTGAACTGACGCTCTTACCTCAGTTGCATTTTAATGTCGCCTACATTACATTTGCTTTCCTGAATGAACATCCTGCTGATACTGTTTTGAAAGAGGAATAGGCCAGTCCGTTTTATGTGACTATCGAGTGATGTAAACGCAGGCATTCAGCAAGCAGTTGATCTTTGTGAAGTGGTTCCTCCTCTCATAACAAGTGTGTCACTGGTCGAATGGGTATGCACGTCACGATCATTTCGCAAATTACAAGAACCCACACTATTTGAGAAAAAAAAAGAAATTTAGCTCTTCATTATTTTATATATAAATATTATTTTAATGATTGTGCCAGTCTCTTTTACAAAAAATAAATAAAATGTGATTTTTTGAAAAATTCATATTTAAAGTAACGTATAATCTTCAATAACTTTTCCACCCCTTATGGACCTGGTATAGTTCGCTAAGTAAATTTATACTCAGCGTTAAATAATTTTTATTACGTGGGTGGGACTTTATAATTGCTCACAATCCTTAAATAACTTGGACAAGCTACTATATTGTCCTGATGTATGCTCTAGACGCGTTTTATGAATCTATCAAAAATCTTATTTTATGTGTTTTTATCAATCTGTCTAAAACATTTTTATAAATAGACTTGCGTACGCGAGAACTAAAGTCATTCGTATTGCTATTTATGACTTATGTATCAAGATATCTAAATTTCAGATTTGTTTGACTTAAGCCGCGTAGTTTTTAGAATACCGCACCCCTGGTTCTATCTTTCCGCTCAATGTTTTCCGAATATCGAAAATTCTTGGAAGGGTCAATTGTAATGTACTCGTGGGTTTTGAAAATAGCGTGAAAACATAATCTTTTGCCAATCGTTAACATAAATTACATACGCCTAGTTTCCTAACTTATATTTTTTCTCCATTATGCTGTATGACAACGATACAACCAATACTAATTATGATGCCACTAATTTATGTTGAAGCCAGTAAAGCAATTTCACGTTTCTATACTGAATACCAATGTGGAACACTAATAATTCCTTCTAAAACAAAAAAAATTACAATTCAAGGCTGTTCAAAAATTAACTACTTCTCTACAAATCAAATTATGCAAGTGAGAACGAATCTTAAGCAATATTCTGCAAGCCATTATACAAGCATGGCAAACGTAAAGGCTATGCCTTAGCTTAGGTTCTTTTTTTTTTTTCTTTGTAAAACTAAGTTGTATTGCTTACAACTCTAGTCATTCTGAACTACCTCTTTATATTATTCTTGAAGCGAACTTTCGTGTTTACCAGGGGTGGTGAAAGACGTTCACAAAAAGCCTTGCTTAAAAAAATGAAAACATAAATTGCTGAGGTCTGGAGCAAGTTGGACAGCCAAAGTGAGAACGTGTAGTGCTCTAAAATAAGGAGTGAGGAAGCAGGGAGAACTGGGCGATTAACCACATAGAAAGTGGAATTTGGCTCGTTACAGAAACTTCACAATAATGCTCCAATTTTATAACCGTTAGGAGGGAAGCCTAGATAATTTATTCTATTTTGTGTCACCTTTAAGAATATCATTGTTGCGGTATCAGCATATTTTCAGTAGCCTTAGACACAATCACTTAATTTCTATCAGAGGCACTCACACAATCGTTAGGTGTGACAAGAACTGTAATGTAATTTTTACGTCCAAGGCATGCCATCATGGTCTCATTTATGGTCTTCGGCGTTGTGGTTCATACTCCATATGTAATTATTTGAAACTTTCTTGTTTTGTTTTGGTACATCCGCACAGATACCATTTTCGCTTTAACAGCTTACCTTTCAGAGGCACGGAAGACAAATTCATTTTAAGTTTTCATTTAAATTTGGTTCTACAATTGAAAACAATTAGCTTACCATTATATTTTTAATCATATTCAGAAACGCATCTATTTCTTTAGAAAATCTAATTTAAAATAAAAAAAAGAAAAACGGAAAAAAATACAGAATTTTTTTTTATTTTCGAAATTAGCGAGAAATTTCGCAACGATTATATGAATTTAGGAATAGAGTATTTTCTTGCTCAAGAAACCCACTCCTGACGCTGTCAATACGAGCCATTACGTGCTTCATCTGTGAGAAGAATCAAACGCGCGGCCCTGACATCACGCCGCTGCAGTTGCCCTACTCACACCAAGGCACTCGCACAGACGCTTTGCCTCACGTGAATTTGCTTGATGCACACGCGCAATTTCCAATTTTGGACAGAAATATTTTTTTTAAAATTCTGTTCCCCGTGTGACGGCATATTTGTGCATTCAGATACCATTAGGAGCTGAAGTCCGAGATCTTTTCTGTTGTTTTGACATTTTGGGAGCATAAAAATTCCAGTTTACGCCTAATTTACTTTTAAGAGGTCCGGTTCTGCATTTCTTGGCATTGTTTGATTAGTTTTTAGCTTCATCAAGCCTACCAGGGTCCCATTAATCTAAGGCAGCACTGAGTGGCTATTGTAAGCAATCAGCGTCAGTCAACTGTCCGCCTGTATCTTTTTCACTTTCACAAAATTGTCCCAACAACATTCTACAATGGGATACTTCGCACAACTTTAAGTTCGTGGGAGTCGGAGACACACGCTGTACTGTTCTTCTGGTCCACGGTTAGAAAACGTCGCCTTGCAGGATCATTTACGTTTAACATACCTCACGCTAGAGATAAAGCACTTAATCCCAAAATACCAGCTGAATGGAAACTTGTAAATATGCATTACTATCTAGTCACGCATTCATCGTACTCTAAACTTTTCATTCTAGTCTACGCGAGCAGTGAAATACGCTCATGCGTCATTTTATTGACACTTGCGTTTGTACAGTGGTTTCTGTTTCCTTCCATAAGGCTTAGGTGAAAACGTAGAGGCCTTCCGCAACAATTGACGTCGGCCATGCGAAGACTCTTAGGAGTAATGAAGGGTCTTTTGTCGATAGTTCTGAGTATTCTTCTGGCTATTAGACAACACATAATTCAAAGCTTTTCAATTTAGATACCTTCCTAAATATTGGACAGCAATGCATGGAACCATAGAAGTGATTATTCATGAAGTTCGTAAGTTGAGATTGCTTCCTGAGCTTTGATGTAATTTGGCCGCTCAAAACTTATCAAAATATATCTTAGGTTTTGATTGGCAAGAACACATTTTGAGTTTTCAGTAAACAGATTTGGCCGGCAAGTCCACTTGCGGGTTAAGGATAATCTCGTGCTGGGAGTGGCAAAGCACCACCCAAATTTATGCATGAAACGTGAGAATGGTTCCGAGACTGCACTTAAGCCGATAGGCTAACCCTTCACCCAAGCAGGACGTTACTCAAAGACCGCTGCCCATCAAGCGAGCCCATTCTATGAGGCATGGACGTCTCAATATATGTTGAGTTTTTTTTC